ATTTTTTTTTTTTTTTTTTTTTTTTTTGATTGTTCTAAAAGGCTACAGGATAAAATGTCAAAAATTCCAAAGAGTTTACTGTCTGGGTCTTAGAAGGTGTCAGGACTATTATGAGCTCTTAAAAAATAATTCAAGCCTACCATAGCTAGCCAGTAACATTTTATAGTTCAGAACTTAGTTTTTTGTGAATGACAGCTTGCCTGATTTTCACACAGATTGTGATTAAAACATCTATACATAAACCACATATAGACACTCACTATAATACTTTTTCATTAGGTTAGGTAACAAGGCACTATGAAATCTCAAGAGTATAAATTGGATAGAAAATTAAAATGTAGGAAAACTAAAAGGGAGTGAACAAACCAATCCATATTAAAAAAAAAAAAAAAAAAGTACTCACTATGACAAGTTGGACATCTTTTTCCATTGCAGGAAAATCTACTTAATGTCATATCAAAATCTGTAATAATCTATTTAAAGAAAGAAAAAGCAAAACTGTCTTACAACACGGAGGGACAAAATAAAGGATGGCTAGAAGTTCTGAATGATCAATAGTTGCGGTTGAGTAGCATGTGTATCACAGAAAACTCCCTACTTTATTGAACCCTTGTAAGCCAGAATCTCCTATAAGAATAACTTTATTCTGACAAAACTGTTTTTCTAATTCCTGAAATTACTAAGATTATATGTTTATATAATTTAATTAACTAGTGTCTGGCTGAATTACAGTTGAATCAACAAGGGCTATTAAAAGAGTTATCAGATGTCCAAGTTTTGGAAGTTACTCGAAGGCTGATTTCTATTATAAATATTCTTAGAATTTTTGGCACAGAGCAAAAAATCATATGATTGCTTTCATTCCAAACTGGTTATACCTCCTACTATCTTTACCTGAAGTTTGGCAGCTCCACCTTTGATGAGGCCACAAATAATCTCCTCTACTCTCCCTGGGTCCTTAATATGGACAGTCTTCTTCTGAAATTCTGGCATCTATGAAGAATATGAACAAAGACAGAAATATACTTACAGATAAAAACTTACTAGGTAATGCCTGCTGTCCATGGGATTAGAAGCTCTGCATCTAGAAACAGTTTCACATGACTAAGACATGCTCAGGACAGGAAGGCAAGTTAAGAGTGAGAAGAAACAAAATACTCTGGGTGTACTACTGATGACTGCACACAGTTCTGTTCGCTTTCAGTACCTGCTTTCATTCCCTTTCCTAATATCAAATTATTCAGTAAGTAGACGCTCACGGAAAAGATAATTGTATTTGTGGGAAATAAGAAGATACATAGAAACAGGACATATGGGATCACCTTGTTGTTCAAGTATGTCACTGGGAGATGGTGAACCTTAAAACTAGCTCTTTGTACAATTAATATGCCCTTGAAGTTTCAACACAGATAAAGAAGACAGGCTGATTTTGGACACCTGTTGTTTTGTTGAGATGTCGTATGTGTCAACTGAGTCCTCCAATACAACAGAGCACTATAGTAATTCCTGCTTCCTAGCTAATCCATCAATCATTTTCCATTACCTATTTTGCTGCACTTTTGAAATAGCACATGCTATCACACCACATATTCATTTTGAATGAAGAGTATTTCTTGAATATTATGATAAATGCTGAATTTAGTAAAAAAGAAAAAACTCCACCCCTCCTGAAACAATACCCCCCCCCGCCCAAGCCCTTGCTTACTCTAGTTTCTCTTCAACCTTGCAGAAATGGTAAAAAGAACAACTTGTTGACAGAGATTTCCCAATCTAGTACATATTTCCTTCCTTTATAATCATGTATGGACCCTTTAGAAAGCAAAAGCGTCAGACATTTGCAATCTGTCTACATAGGCATTTATGAGGAGTAAACTTTTTCTACATACAGAACTTCAGAGATGATGAAGTGTAAGGAATTACTTTTTTTACATTCTCATCATTCAGCTTTCCTTATACCTAATGTGTAATCTTTGTTGCAATTAGTTAATCAAAATAAATTTAAAAAAGAAAAAAAAAGTAGCTTCTATGTCCAGACACATTTCTGGAACCAGAGTTCTCATACCACCAATTGTTAGTCACACAACACTCTTTCTTCCCGTTCTTGATGCTGCTAAGCTTTTTATTTATTAGTAACAACTGACTTGCAGTCAGATTGCAATTAGGTTATTATTTAAGAAAAATATGACATTTTAAAGTCTTGCAAACACATGTTTTTATAATGGAAGAGCCACTTGTGTGTCAGGGAAAAGAAGATGATGGAGGTACCTTTAAATATCGGCTCTAGTCCACTTTGCCCTCACGTAGGAGCAAACTACATCATTACAGCTACGTGATTCTCAGCAGATACTTGTCTAACCCATTCTTCAAAACCTCCACTCACCTATTCATCACTTTCCTCAACCATGTATTTTAGTGCTCAACTATCTTTATATTCAGAAAAGTTTGCTTAATCTCTATTTGACCTTCCTTACTGTTATTTTAGGTCATTCAACTTGGAGGAAAGTATTCTTTTTCACGGGGGCTCACTGGATATTTCTCCCTTCTTCCTGAATTAAAGAACCCCAGTTTCTTCAGCTTTCTTTTGCAGAGCATGGATATCTAAACCTCTGAAAATTCTTGATGTTGTCCTGGCCCATCCATTTGCACCATATGTTCTTGAAACACAGCATACATAACAGTGGATATAATCTTCCTGCTCTGCTCTGAAGGGCTGCTTTGGCCTGTGTCTTCAGATAATGTCTTTGCATATATGTTTGAATGTGCTTATTTTGTTAGAAGTAATATGGTGATCATAATTCAAATTCAGTTAGTAACGACCAAATATTCTTCAAAGTTACTCCCATGTGGAAACAGGTAGTTGCACAAAGTGCTAAATTTTATGTTTAGTCTTGCAGGATTATATCTTTTCTTCTACGTCAGTGCTGCTATTTTTCAATATAACAAATATTTCTAATCTCCAGCATGCTAACTGCTACTTTCTGGCTGATACTGTTGAAGACACTAGTCAAAACAGAAAACAGAAAACCTTCTAAAACCCTAATCATGAGTCTCTGATAATTTTACAAGGTACTCCACCTATCCAAAAAGTTTCACTTAGGCCAGAATATCTTGCCAAAAATTCTTAAGTCATGACAGGGTATTTACTACTTCTTTGCTTATAAGTGTCATCAAGAAGCAAACTGGATTCATTTCACTTAGTTTGGAAGATTTACGGTTTTCCTTTGCCATCCCATAGCAAAGACGTTTTCTGTAGAAGTGGTACCTCCTAAACCAAGATAGTTGTTCTCTGTGTGGTTGCAGTGCCTTGCTACTTTTATTAGCACAGTAAATTCAAAAAAGATACATTAGGATTGGGTTCCAGTGGTCAGCTACATCCCAGGCTGAGAACCATTGAGAAAGCTAATGATTGTTAACAAAAAAATAAAATTATTGAAAAATATCTATTAAATTTGCTAATCTTTCAAGAAATACATTTAGAAAGCATTTCTATTTACTCAAAGTATCAGCAGATCTATCTTCATGAGATAAAACGTTATCAACCTGTAACACTTAAAAGATATTTTATGGTACTTCTTTTCTACGTTATATAGTGCTGGTAAACACATGTAACCATACTGCCTTTTTGGTGGGTATACAGCATTTTTTCTCTGTAGTGAAAGATAAAGCAATTTGACAGTTTTTTAATTCTTTCCCCTGTAAACGGACTTATTTAATTCCTTTGGCTTTCAGGAGGCAAATTATATATGCATTTTTGACTTGGAATAAAAAAATTAAAGTGAAATCTAAATGTGTGCTTTTGTAAGAAGTAGTTCAAACATTATTCGTTTTACTTAGATACTAAGCAATAAACTTCCTAATATAACATATAAACAGAACAGATGTTGGGGGAGATGGAGAGATCAGAGGGAGAGACTGTATGAGGAAAGCTGTTTGCTTGCTTCTGTTTCATTTCAGATTGAGGCCTTTTGTAAGTTTCTGAAACAACCTGAGGAATAACCTCCTTAGTAATTGCTTTAGTAGATGATGTTAAAACAAGACATTGCTTAAGATTTTAAGTATGATGAAAGCTTCCTGCTTTGATGTTGCAAACTGATATTCCTATTCAAGATCAGTTGTTAAGGTTTATTTGTTTCAAATAAATCTTTCATTTTTACACAAGAATTGAAGTCAGTTGAAGAGTATTTTAATTTTTGGGGGAAAAAAACCTTGAAGTCTTCTGCAGTGAGTATAATCCAGACAATTTCAACCTCACGGGTGTTTTCATAGGCAAAACCAAGGCCTCATTAATGGATACAGCATCTGATAAAGCCTCAGACAAATACAGTTAGTTGAAATAGCCACTGTCCCCATCACTAGTTTCTTGTTATCTGCAAATGAACATCAAGTAGCAATTCTTTTATTTTGGATTTATCATTATTATATTAGAAATAAATTAAACTGTCTAATAAGCAGTACCAGTTTTCTGGCACACTGTCTCCTTCAACATCTTACACTTCTGCCCAGTCTAGCTGTGTTTTTTTGTTGTGTATTCGCCATTCTTCAAGAGTTGAAAGAGACAAGCCGATTCAAGTTGGAAAGAACTGATAAGACAGATGAAAGAACAAAGAGTGAAAAAATGCTAGTAAGAAAAGTTCAGTCAATTTGATAAATTTGTGTTTCTATTAATTGTTTAAGAAAGCTCTAGGAGCCAAGTGAGTATACACAAAAGGCCCAAAATTCTGATGCACCGTTTGACTGCGAAGAACACGTACGGAGAAACAGTCAAACAGAAGTCTCCACAGCATTTATTACAACAAATGCAGAAAAGCTTTTCAGAGCAAGGAGCTTCTACATACAGAACTAAAGCCATATAAGCACACAAAAAGGAATTTATATTTCCTTGTGACATCTGAAAGTATACCCTACTGAATCACTTAAGTGTCCCTCTTTATTCTGTCATTTTATGAAAATATGAGTTCTGTTTTCTTACCAAGGACATCTATATGTTACTAGCTCAGAGGCCGGTATCTCTTGTAAAACACATGTTAAAAGATGGCAACTCCCAAAGGAAATTTGTGGTTGGCATATACACTGGCCATAAATACATTTAAATTTCTAGTCTCTTGACATTTTTAAGGAGCCTTCAAAGAGGAGCCAGTACAACAGAATTGAAAAAGATTATTTTAAAGATTGAGCTTGATTGGATTTATGAAAAGGAAAAAAAGATCTGCTTGTTTGTGATAGCAAGTAACTAGAATAAGGATGTAGGAAATTTTTTTGTAGCTAACAATGTGATAGTCATACCTTGATGAATGGACAGTAATGGATTCACACAGGTTTGGAAATCCCCCAGTGCTACAAACCACAGAATGGGTCATTTACAACAAGGGTAGTTCTGAAAATTATGTCTATTTAGTACATGAGACATGCATCTGTGTAGCTGGGTTAAATAAAGAGGAAAAGTATTTACTTTAAAGACCATATTGAATTCTAGTTTTGAAATAAAGTTTCTTATATACAATTGGATAGCAGGAGTGCAAACAGAGCTGCTTTTATGTTCTATCTGGGTGCTGCTTATATATATTTTTTTTTTTCTTAGTATCTGAGACAGTGTATATCTTAGTGCATGGTGCATCAGTTTGATTATAGAACAAGAGTTGGTGATAATCAGCAAAATGAAAGGCAGGTATCTAAGTGAATTCACATCTGCCATAGTAAGCATGTCCAGTCAGGTATCCTAGGAAATTAGTAACTGATTGTGTGCATGAGGTGTAATGTTAAATTCCGGAGTTAAGATTATACTGAACTTTTGAATCTACGGAGTGCTGGAGGTGGAGTAGTTACTTCCCTCCCCCTATCCAGTAAAACAACCATGTAAGTCCCTATGATTTAAAAAAAAAAAAAAAAAAAAAGTCCAACAAAGAAAGGAAACTTCATACAAAGGAGACTGTGGGACCTTCTGTTGTTTTCACTATCCATAATTTTAAATTGGGATGGATGAGCTGATGAATCACTTGCTCATTTCACAATCAAATCTACGTATGTAGCCTGAAATATTACTAGTAATAATCAGAAATGTTTAAGTTATCATCATAAGTCTGCTAAGTAACACTTTGACCAAGGAGATGTTTGCTTTGACCATGGAGATCAGTGACAGGTGACATTCCTCAGGGGTCAGTATTGGGACCAGCGCTGTTTAACATCTTTGTTGGTGACATGGGCAGTGGGATTGAGTGCACCCTCAGCGAGCTCGCCGACGACAGCAAGCTGTGTGGCTTGCAGCCCAGACAGCCAACCATACTCTGGGCTGCATCAAAGAGAAGTGTGACCAGCAGGTCAAGGGAGACGATTCTCCTCCTCTGCTCCACTCTCATGAGACCCCACCTGCAGTTCTGTGTCTAGCTCTGGGGCCCCCAGCATGGGAAAAACATGGACCTGCTGAAGTCTGTCCAGAGGAGGCCATGAGGGTGATCAGGGGGCTGGAGCGCCTCCCCTGTGAAGACAGGCTGGGAGAGTTGGGGGTGTTCAGCCTGCAGAAGAGAAGGCTCTGGGGAGACATTATAGTGGCCTTCCAGTGCCTAAAGGGGGCCTACAGGAAAGCTGGGAAGGGACTCTATCAGGGAGTATAGGGATAGGATGAGGGGTAACAGTTTTAAATTGAAAGAGGGGAGATTTAGATTAGATGTAAGGAGGCAATTCTTTCCTGTGAGGATGGTGAGGCCCTGGCACAGGTTCCCCAGAGAAGCTGTGGCTGCCCCCTCCGTGGCAGTGTCCAAGGCCAGGCTGGACGGGGCTTTGGGCAACCTGGGCTAGTGCAGGGTTTCCCTGCCCATGGCAAGGGGTTGGAACTGACTGATCTTTAAGGTCCCTTCCAATCCAAACCATTCTATGACATAAGAAAATGGGGCAAAGTATTTTTATACTGATACCCTGTAAGCTTATACTACTTGGCAAATACAAAGTTTTCTTATATTACAAAGACTAATCCAGTATGGATGCCTCCCAAAAATTACTGTTGAGAAAACACCCTGCATTATGGGTGGATAAAATTTTAAAGGGAACTTCTCTATAATTCTCAAGGATTGACAGAGTAATTTTTTAGGTGTCAGTAATTCTGAATAATAACATCTGTTCTTGCACTTATAAACATATTAAAAATGTTCCACAAAATTTCACATGACCGTGATGTCATAAAAGTAGTAAGACAATGAATAAGAACTAGCCATAATACTACTGACAGTACCTGAATTTCAATTATAAAAAAAATTCTTTTTTTCTACTTTGTTGGTAAACCTGCCATAGACTATATAGGTTCCAAACCTATTAACTTTTGATACAGAGCACACACAAACGTGGGCTGGCAAGGAGAGAGAACCATTAATGTTACCTCTGAACAAGGAAAATGCAAATCAAAGTGATAAAATGGATAGGATTCAATTATTTCTACGTCTTATTTCTAGTCTACGGTGACAGTTTCCAGTTAAAACAGTATAAACCAAGAATAAATGACATTTATTTTGGGAACTGCAGATGCCCAATTCCAAGGTCTGAGACTAGCTATCGCATTTACTTACTTATGGACATCTACCAAAAAAGGCAGGACATGGCATCTTGGTTTCAGTGTTCTTGGTGGCAGAAAGTAACAGTTTGGTGAAATTATAAACAAAAGGGGCACATTTCTTAATTTACATTTACATCTTCTTTTCATCTGCCCTTTTCTTTGTGTTGTTACAGAACATTACTTTTACCTACTTATTCCAGAAAACAAAGCTTACAAAAAATATTTGAAAACAAGCTTCTTCATGTAACTTCTGCTATTTGCAATGTATGAATTGCAAGAAGCAGAGGAGCCATAAGAAAAACCACAGAATGGGAGTGTGCATATCTCTTCCTCCATCTGTATATGCTGATAGATAGCTACTTGTGCTCATACGCTCATATAGGTATAAAGCAAGATTGGCTTTAATTTAGACAATTTGAATTTTGATCCATGAGTGTAACAGAGGTTTCTCTTAGCAGCCCCAGCTGTTGGTAGGTTTATCTTTTAGACAGGAACATTAAAAGCTACTGGACATGATTGTCGTCACATCAGTCACTCCATTATGTGCTGCTAGTCAGGAGAACTGCACTTAGTGGTTGTGCAGTCTGCTAGCATAACCTGAGCTCAGGACAGATATTTATTAATTTATTTTTATTACCAATTATTAAATTATTATTTAATTACCAAACTCCAAACCATCATATGTTTTACATTCATATGATGTAAACTGAAATATGGTAAGAAATCCCTAGTAACTAGTAATTACTGAGTTGTAAATTTGCAAAGAAATAGCCTTAAGACTACTTACCTAAAAAGTAAACAGGTAAATATTATATGAAAATGAAACAATAGAACATTGAGTGTCTTCACATTTGCCTGATAACATGTTACAAAACAGATACCCAGCACATGTTACATGAAATAACTGGAAGCTGCTTCATTACCTAAGCTATTTTAAGAAATGGAATAGGATGCATACTAAAGGTAATTTTTCCTGGTTTATTTTGTTTAATTATTTACATCTTTTTACACTTAATGTGCTGGATTGATATTTAGTTTGGGGAAAAAAAAACCCACATCAAAAAATCTGGAGAGAGAGAGCTTTCACAGAAAACATGACAACAGTGTTTCCTTTTGTGCTTTTAAAGGAGAGTACCTGTGCGTTGAGTTTAGGGCACTCCTGATTCTTCTGTCCTTGATTTTGTCCTACTGCAACAGCATAGGTGGCAAGCAGAGTCCAGAGACACAGGGCTCGCATACAGGCTGCCAAAAAAACCCAACCAAATCCTTTTAAGAATTGGTCTGCTCTATGATGTGGTCTTTGCTGTTCTGCTGTACAGAAATAAAAGCAGACATGCATGGTACGTAGCTACAGCACTATGAAAATATCCATCCACACTTAAGACTACTCTGATACTTATTTAAAAGCAGAGGAACATTAAGATGAATTAACCTATTCAATAAAAACTGGTAAATATATTTATTCCTTCGATGCTGTTGCCAATTCTGTGAGATCAGAATTTTATTTTAAAAATATAGCTTGTCACAATAAACAACTGTTAAGCAATGCCTCGGCTTATAACCTTGGCTTAAAAATGCAGGCAGAAGACAGTCGGTACTATTGACAGAAGCTGTGCACACTTACCAGAGGGTTTTGCAGGAGCAGCTGCAGAAGCAAAAGAAAATTCCTCTTGCTTGAGAAACACTAATATAGCAGCACAAGGTGCAGTTGAGGGCGTTTCCAAATACAGCCTGACTAATCCCCGTGCAAAACCCCAGGGTCCTGTGACGCACATCAGCAATGCACAGCAGTTTGTTATGCTCAGCACTACAGCCTGACAGGCTTACAGATGATCAGCTGGTGTACCAACAACAAAACCTTTGACCTTCCCTGAATGAACAGCTTTCATGGATGCAGCAGGCAAATTTGGGCTGCTCTAACAGGGGCAGGTGCTTGTTTTTCAAAGCAGAAGTTTACTACTTTGTTAGTTTTTAACCCTTTTACAAAAATCTTTCCAAGTATTGTAGGATTTCCCGTTGCAGAGCTCCACAAATTTCTTATATCTCACTGACATGGTCTCATTAATATTTACAAGGGAGCACATATTTATTTGTGTAGAAGCAGCAGATTAATTAATTAATCTTTGCTTTGACTTTAATTATCTATGTGATACTGAAACAGGAGATCAAGAAGGCTCGTCTGTCAGGATTTATTGAGACACAAGGCAACTCAACATGCTCTCAGAAGTTTGTCATTAGGCATGTTGCCTGATCAGACAGTAACTAGGTGACACACAAGATGTATTTAAAAGGCATCTTTTTTACTGTGACAGGATGAAGGAAGTATTGTCTAATCCTATTTACACTTTGAAGTTGTGTAAATGCTGGGAAGTTTCATGTGAAGTTAACTCTTGCTGTAACAATGGTGCAAGCTTCCCTCTACTATCCCATAATTTATGCTCAACCTTAGGTTTATGATCATTATTTCAGACTACCAGAACTAACTACAAACATTGGGCCAATTCATACATGGCCATGAATGTGACCAGTGCAATTGACAGAACTGAAGCAAGGGCAGGTTAGTAATGTAGCACATACAAAACCCATAATGCTATAGAACACCTCCCACATTTCCAGGATGCTAGAAATTCATTACTTATGAAAATTTCCTTTTAAGAAGGATGTGCTGTTTTTCTACATTAAAAAAAAAAAAAAATCAGTAAACTTCTTCTGAATGCTACAGTGAATCCGTATGTTTTGTGTCCGCATTCGAACTGTAGGGCAGTATATACTCCGTCAGGATTCCTCAGACTCTGACCTACGCAGAGTACTTTCATTTTTTTCAGTTGTCCTCTCTGGGTTTTGACCCAATGGAACAACTAGTGAATACTTCAGCTGATACAAAACATACAACTTTCATCAACACTCATCCTCTCAGAATTGAACAAAATCCCCTAAAATGTACATATTAAGGTCGGCTGTATCCTGAAGCAGCAAAACACTATGTTCAAAACATAACATAATCCCTGCAAAAACTATACACAGTAAATTGAACTTACTTGGCATTGGTATGTGCCAGGATTCATAGGTTTATACGCTGTTGTAATAGGTAACATACAAGGAACATTATAGTATTTTATTATAGTTAGCATGATTTTGGGTAATAATATCTCCATATTAATGTTTTGGAAAGCTATGTATAATGTAGTATCTTGAATAAATACGAATTACTTGCACAGTAAAAAGCTGTAGCTTATGTCAGTGCTGGATTTCCAGTTTTCGAAAAATCCTATGAACAATGAAGTTAAAATATACTTGCTAGATGAATCATGTAGTTCAGATAAAGGCATCACTTCATACATTTGATTTGCAAAGTACCTGTCTGAGCTTTTATTTATTTCAAAGGTGACAACGGTACTGATATAAATTAGCCTTGTGAACCTCATAGGTGAGACCAGGATGTAATGGGGCTGGCCTGTTGATATTCTGGTATTTCTTGTGTGATTCAGTGAGAAAATTAATTCTAATGCTATCAAGAACTTAAAGAAAGTCAGCTTTCTCTTTATGGAAGTTGGGGAAACAAAAAGAGAGGTTGTTTTTTTTTTTTTGTTTTTTAAATTTATGTACGATTTAAGATTGAAGAAAATAGTTGCAGAAACTAAGTCCAACTTACAGACTAATTTTTTTGTGTACCAAACTAAATAGAAAGCATTTTAAGTGAATGATCATGGTGTTAGTGAATGAGCTAGAACATGACGTGAGCAAAATTTCTGTAAACATTAATACAGCCAACTCCCAATTCTTAGAAAGACATCTACTGTATCTCTAACAACAATGTACTTTCACTTTAATGAAAATGCTGTATATGAAACTCCTCATGTACAAAACAAGTCTGTCTTTGCAACTCTAAGAAACCTTTGTGTCAAACACTTTAATTACAATAGTTACTACTGACCATGCTGTTACTGCTACTTTGAATCAGTTGAGCATTGTTTATAGTGTTTCACTTCTGCTAAGAGATTAATTAACATTAGGCCTTCTAAAGACAGAGAAATAAAATTAAAATTAATTAAAATTAAATAAAATTAGGCCTTCTGAAGACAGAGAAACAAAGTCCAGCATGACATTTTTACTCTCACAATACCGAAGGTCATTCAAATATATTTTGAGAACCACAAACTAAAGAGGTATAGCTGTTTCAACAGATAGGTTCTATTTTAATCTCTTCTTGTTGGCTGAGGGCCATATCTCAACTGCAGAATATTCTACGCAGAAAACGAGAGAGAGAGAGAGAGAGAGAGAAAAGAAAAACACTTAAAACGTTACATGATTTGTCATTCATGTAAAGCCAGGGAAAGGTTCAACTTTATATGGTGGTGTGTTACGTTTGTAGAGATTCAGGATGCTCCCAAAGAGTACGAAGCCCTGGAAGTTTTTAGTGTGAAGCAATGAAAAACTGGTTCTACTGGTACCTTACATACCTCTGCCCTAGGTTGCACCCCTTTGTGGAAAGAAATGAACACAGCACAGAAATTATGTAAGCAAATAAGCTGATTTTTTTTTAAAGTAAAAAGTTGAATACTTCAACAAAACTTATGTCAGCTTTTAAAGATCAAGAAAGAGGTAATATTTAAGAGTAATTTCTGTTCATTAGAATATTTGCTACAAAAATTAGAGGTGACTGAATCCTGTCTACATTATAAACATTAGCTAGTGGCTTTTCATTAGCTTATTAACTGTTATTCTTGTTTAGTGAGCCTACTACAACTGAACAACTTTGAATATATCCCCATATATTTAGCATATTGCCCAACTTTACTTGAGCAGTACCTTTATTACTGGGATCAATTTGAAACATTAAGCAACTGTATTTGTTTTCTAATTTTGCTTTTGTAATAAGTCTACTTAGTTGATATTTTCCAAAGCAGACTACTTGATACAATCTCCACAAGACAGGGAAAGCTAACTGAACCTTAGCACGCAATTACCAAACCAAACAGAAGAAAGGAACCAACATAATTTAATTCAAACATGATTTTTATTCGCGTCCTAGGGAACCGAGTTAATGAACAGCATACTGGTTCCACCAATAGCTTTTTATATTTGTAAATGACAATTACAAAGAAAATAAGATAAACGTTCAGTTTGATGAAGCTAGGCTAAATAAAGTTTTAGAAGGATGCCTTGCAGGAGTTTTGGATACCACTTATTTTTTCAGTACAGGTTAGGTGTAAAAAAAATACTAGCCATATTTACAGCTGGTATGATACAATACAGAAATACTATTTGTATAGGAAAGAGTGTGTGTGTATTATAGAGATTATTCATGAGGAATGTAAGAGATTCTTTAAACAGAAAAAAGCTTGAACAGCACTTCTATGGAAAAGTGCTAAGAACACATTAAAGACTGAATTCATTAAACTGTGATAAATCCAGTGAAGACATATGCTAAGATAACCTGAGGGTTTTATAAGACGCAGCAGTACCATTTTAGCTGAGAATTTGTTTTGTCTACTCAGCTATCATATTTTAAAAAGGCAGAAATAAATGCATGCACCAAACCCATTAGAGGAGGTAAACATTGTATCACAAGACATATTTAGCAACTTTATTTGACAGAGATTTTCTAGATCTGATCAGAGATCAATCTTTACAAGATAAAACTGGTGATCATCTATAGTCTGGCCATTTATGGCTGTTTTGAACACATAAAGTTATTAGTGCTAACACATACACTCAAATGTATAAAGAACAGCTAAACTTAAGTATTTATTCTTGTGCTTAATACAACAATCACTATGATGTCATACTCACTGAAAAATGATATCTCAATAAAACCACTGTTATTCATTAAAAAAATAAGGCTACATAAAGACATATTTTCATTCAGCAAGTTGAGTGCGCTTGTTTTGAGCATGGAGTAGATCACCAGTTTCATTTGGACTAAGCAAAGTTTTTAAGTAGTGGACAAGAACAATGATTAGCTTATGTTAAAGTCATGCAGTGAGATAAATTATTCTGGTTTAGTGATCTCTCATGGTGGTTACTCTATGAAAGTCTATGAGGTCAGAAATAGGAGTTTTTGTGTTTTATTTTTTTTTTTTTTAAACCAGTTTCTGCAGTTCTGGAAATCTAAAATGAATAGAGTTTTAGCATCAATTTAAAACATGCAGGAAGCCATGACTTGCAACTGTACATGACATTGCTTGTTCAGATGAGAGAATAAAAGATACTGCAGCATCATTATCCTTTAGGCACCTTCCTCTTGTGCTTAGAAAAGCACTCTAAAAGCAGAGATCTCTGTTGGTGATAAAGGTATCATTATATATTATAAAACTCAGAACTGTAACAACTGTGGCAATAGAAGTCAAAACTTTATGCAATATTTCAAATCCTCTGTAGAAGTCTACAAAGGACTATTAGTAACTAGAGCCTCAGTTTCCACTATTTCATGTGATGTCCTCCTGTCAGTTATTACTTCAGGCAAAAATTTAGTCTTCTACTGAGAGAATATATGAGGTACAAACCATACAGAACCAGTTCTGAAGATTCTGGGTTTGAATTAATACAGCTCAGGGCAGGCACTTTTGCCTCTGATTGTATGTTAGGGGAATCAACTCATCTCTGTGTTTTGCTCCTACTTCCTCACTCTGGAGAGAATTAATCTTTGAAACTGATAGGTTAAAAATATTATGTATTGTTTAGTAATCAGTGAGTATCTAGAAATGATCAAGTGATCTTCAGTCAGTAGCCACGGGAAATACCAGTCTGTAAATTATATCCTA